AAGGAGAGATAAGCTCTTGGAAAAGTCTCCACAAAGCTCAAGCATGGAAGAAGCAAGAGGAAGACAACCCAACACAAAAAGGCTATGATTGGAGGTAAGAACTCAAATAGTTCTTTTAACTAGTATTATTTTGATATGTTTTTTAGGAAATCATATGGTGGATCAAACAAGAGATTCTACACGTTTAAAAGTGTAGAATATTGGTATAAAGTGATGGTATTTGACTTAGAAGAGTCGTGGAAGTGATGGGACTTGAAACCGCCGGAAACCGCAAAAAAAGAGGCTGCCCGTATTGCAGAACGACGAACGCCGCCTGGCTTCGCAAAGGCAACTAGTTAAGCACTTAATAAGGTAATGATGACTGACTATATTGCTTATAATTACTGAGTTAATATCATAAGATTACCTAAGGTATTTAAATGTGTTTTTCCATGGATTATTAATGATTAATAATGCCTAAATGAAAATACTATTGTGTATGAATAAAGGAGGCATCATATACAAATTTAGAAGAAATCGTGTATGATTATACGATAGGGATATGATGACATGATAGTTGAATTAACTATGAAACCTTGTGATGAAATATACTTTTACTTCATGTTAAGAATTCCTGAATGGATAAAAGTGATATTTTGGATATCGAGATTAAATTATATTTGGATTTGGGAATCAATTTGAACGAACTATATGACTATGAATTAAGGACTTGATTGTTCTAAGATTATCTGACTAGTATTGAAATACTAGTCTCGACGTTAGTGCAAATAATGGTAGAATTAATCCTAAGGAATTGGATGGTGAAAAATTATGTTTTAAATAGTCTTAAAAGATACTTCAAGGTTGAATTGTATGAGTTCTGAGTTATACGAGGGGTAGGCCTTAATGGCTACTCAAGGTAATTTAAATTATAGGCATAGAGAATGCATAGGGATTGGATGATGTGACTATAAGCGAGGCTCTAGCACGTCATAATGGTGAGTAGAGCGGGGATCTAGCACAAAGTAGTGATGACTAGAGTGGGGCTCTAGCACAAAGTATTGGTGACTAGAGCGGGGCTCTAGCACAATGTAGTGATAACTAGAGTGGGGCTCTAGCATGATATAGTGATGACTAGAGCAGGGCTCTAGCACGGTGTGGTAACGAAATAGGGCGGGGCTCTATGACAATGCTATAACGCACTAGGGTAAAGCTCTATAACGGCGTAGTGAGCTGCTAAAGGTGTTATGACGATCGTGACTAGTGACCACGGGGAATAGGGAAGGTCATTTCAAAATGAACATGGGCCCACAGGGCGACTACTTATGATATCACTCTATTTGAGGGTCTTAGAAATCGAAACATTGATTATATACAATGTAGTTGTCTTTGTACTTTTCAAATGCTTCAAAGTACTGACTTTCCCTTCACGGAGGAGGCCATCGCATAGTTGCAGGTAGAAGTTGAAGCTTACTACCAACTCCAGTTGCTTCAGAAAGATTGAGGAGAGGAGCCGTGGTTCGTGCCCCCTCCGCTTCTGTTTTAAAAACAATTACATTAATGCTCATGGATATTATTTTCTGAACAATTATTTAGGGGGTTTGTATGCATAAGTTTGCCAATTGTGGCTTGATCATTTGTGTTAATGTTTCTGTTGCTTTAATGGATGTTTTACATTATGTTTGTTTATGAATGTACTACGTGTGAATGATATTCAAGATGCCTAGTATAATATGGATGTGCTTGACTGCGGTTGACTATTCGTATTGTACGACGGGTTGTTGACGTGTCTGGGTAGGTCCGGAGCGTGACAATACCCCGGAGCCAGAAACCGCCTCCGAAGAAGACGAGGACGAGGAAGACGACAATGATGAAGGTGGTGGCAATGCGGCGCAGTAAATTATGTCCCTCCCTTACTTGTGTTTGACTATTTTTGCTCAATATCGTATATTCCGGTTGGGAGTGCCAAAGAGTGATATTTTGCTTAATTTTTCTTCCGGTTGTGTTTGACTGTTTCTGTATGCTTTTTATACTTTGATTCTTTATCCAGTTCACATGTTTAATTTTGCAACGATGCTCTTATGTTGTCGTATCGCTCGGTATGCTTTTTATACTTCTTCCATGCATAGTTGCGTCTCTTTGTGGTAGGCACTTTCAGCCCCCTGCCATTGTTGCTAAGGCGCACGAATTATTCAGTGCGGGTATACTCCTTTTTTGGGCGCATCCCTCGATGCGTGTGGGTTGGCAATAATTGCCTACGGGCACCCGACCTTCCTTGATTGACATTTGGAATGGTGGCTTCTATAAATAATGAAGGAATTCTTCTTCCTCTTCATCTATTCTCAATTCAGGCAACTAAACTCTGCAGGATTTTCTCTCACCAGGCCATGATTCTTCTTTGATTACCTTTGCAATCTCAATAGGTCACCTTCTGACTAACGTCGAATGACAATGTCTAGTTGCCCCGATTCATCCGTTTATATAGACTCGGAGGAGATGAAGGTCCTCCGTCGATATATCGTCAAGGGAGGTCAGGCTGATGGCGGCGGTGGGGTCGGGGGGTCGGTCGCGATGAGGGCCCAATCACCCTCTGCCCCCCTCCCGTTTCGATGAATGTCAACTTCTTGATGACAGATGCTGCTCAGGGATGATTCCAAGTTTTCAATGTGGGGCCAAAAATTTCAAATTTTTAACCTATTTCAATGTTATCAAATGGGTACTAAAAACTACCCCGTCTCTTAAGAGAAATGATAAAGTAAACATTGTGTGATTTAAAATTGTGAATAAGAGAAATAATTAGCAGGAAATACAAATTCGTTAATTAAAAGTAAAAATGATAAAGTTATTAAAAGAAATTCATTTAAAATCTGCCAAATTAATTGATTTAAAGCTATTGGCCCAAAGTAGGGATGAGTATATCATTTCGTTCGAAATCAAACCATGTGTTATATGATTTGAGTTTGGTAATTTTTTTCAAACCCTATTAAATCGAACTGTATCGAAACCGTGAAAAATCGAACTAAACCAAACTAAACCAAACCGATCCAAACATAAAATAGTACTCTCTCCGTCCCATTAGGAGGTTCGAATTATGATTTACGATGCGACGATAAAACAACTTAATCCTTGCTCAATAAATAAAACTTACATATTCAGAAACTACATTAAACCGCTACAAAACCTGATAAAAAAATGTAAGTTTGATAAAAATTTGATACATAAAGCAAAAGATTAAGAATGATTTAAGTTGATCATGTGAATAATTTGAACAGAATTTTGAACCGGAGGGAGAAGTAATCCAATTTTTATTTTGGGACATCTCTTCCAATCTATTCTATATACAAACCGACGTGAGAATTTAGGCCAACTTCCCGCCTAAAGATAGGCATTCCAAAGTCAATTTTTTAAGTCAAAAAATTCTAGCACAAAAGTGAAAGAAAAGATAGCTAGCTGCCGCTATCTATCCATATACATTTCCACATCAATTAAATCATTGAAAAGAGCAAGTCGGCTAATGTGTACAATTCTACATAGTTACTATCACATTAATTTTGAAGGGCAGGTCAAAGCTAAAAAAATTATGGAGTAGTTCGTTTAAGAGCCTGTTTAGTAATATCAAATCGATTGTATTGGCCGATTCTACTGAAATTTTTAAAGTTTTGGCTGAACTGACTAAATTGATTGATTTTGTTGATTTATGAAAAATTATATTAAAAATATATTTTATTAATTAAATAAAGAAAAAATTATATGAAAAATAGCTAAAATGATCTTCTACACTAACTTCAGCCAATAAATCCAAAAAAGTAACTCTAAGTCTTAAACCTTACTTTTTCCTAATACTACATCCGTCCCCCTATTATTGGGACGGAAAGACGTGGTGTGATTTTTAAGAAAAGTAGAATTATGTGTTTGATAATGAGTTGGTAAAGTGGGAATAAAGTAAAAATGATTTAAAGTCACACAAATGATATCAAATATTATATGAGACAATAATAGGGAGCATCCAAAAATGAAAAAATGAGACAATTATAGGTGGACGGAGAGAGTATTACACAATTTCAGACACGAAATCAAAAGTTACGTATTTAGTGAAAAAATTGGTTAACAAGCCTCACAAGCCAAAAAACAGGATTATCAAAGATTGTGCCCGCCATTCAATAATTATACTTTGTACTTGATAGTCCTTTCAACTCCATATTTACATTTTCAAAGAAAGGCTGAGGCCTCTAATTGATAAGAGTCAAATCAATTACTGGGTATAAATATATTCATTCTTTTTTATTATGTCACACTACCTCCGTTCCAGTAACATTGGGACATTAGAAGGTGACATATTTATTAAGAAAAAGAAGTTTATGTGGTTGATATTGAATTGATAAAGTAGATACGAAGTATAAAATAAGAATGATTTAGAATGACACAAATTTTAATTTATTTGGTATGATACAATCTTAGTGGGATTTCTCAAAAATATGACAGTCTAATAATTTGAAGGCCCCATTGTTATATGTAAGATCGAGAATCACATTAATACAAAATATTAAAAAAACTCAATCTAAATATGTATACTCAAATCATTTGAATACTCATTAAGCAATGTAATAAATAAATATCTAAAAGTTACTTATTACTTGATTTAAAACAACACAACATATTACTCAAGCAACTTAGGTAATAGATGACTAAAAAGACCAATAAAAATGATGAATCTGTATTTTTATTTTTTACTAATTGTATTTTATTGATTAGTATTAATATATAATAATACTATATAATACTAATACATTTTAAAAAAATTGGAATACCATAGGTACGATACCCTATTTTTTAAATGTGTACCGGAGTTGTAACCAAATTTTATTAGTAATCATCATCAATCAGTAAAACGGACCCCTTTGTTCTCAAATAAACAAATTTTAACTTTTCCCTACTCTTATTAAATTTAAAGAAGTCATCTTTTTCCAGTTTATATCCAATTTTTTAATAAAAAATATTATTTAAAACGAAGGTTTAGATAAAAAAAATTTGCCCCCGTATTTTCCATCAAATGAACCCGTCCAATTAGAAAATCCATTGCCCAAGATCTGGAATGACCTATCCGATCATCTCTCAGCCAGACGGTCGTACGCTATATTGCTCTCCGTTTCCAGCTTCTCTTCTCCTTAGGTCGGACGCCGTTGATACCACGCCGTTCGCCTAATATCCCGAGGTTAGTCTATTATTACTAAATGTCTTCTTATTTTATAGCATCTTGTTTTGTTTGTTCGGACATACGTAGTATCTTTTTATATCTTAGAGGGCGTTGTTGAGGTTCGTTCTTTTTCTGTTATTTCAGTTAAACGATGAATAGTTTTCGAAATTAAGGAGTTGTAATAAGCTGTAATTTAAGAAGTTGAAATTGAGATTCGTTCCTTATGTGTTATTTCAGTTACCTTAGTATGGAGGAGAGTCACATTATCCAGTGATGACATCATGATGATGTCATATTAACGTCATCATTTTCAGGCAGGAACAGTTATCCCAGGCGGTCCAGCTTTTGTATACGAAGTATATAGAGATATATATTTAATTAATCTAAGAAGAATTTACTTTTTTATATACCTATAATAAATATTGCAGGGGGTATGTTGAAGTATGCAATTACTAATACAATTACAGTTTTTTTAAATGTATGCCGCTTTCACATTTATTTTCTGTTATAGAATACTACCTCCGTCCCGGTTAAAGGTTCCAATTGCAGCACAATTATTTAGGTAATACGAGTAATTAAATAAGGTAAATCAAGTATATTTTGTTAAAATTAATTTTGATGGATATATAATATAGTGAATCATTGATAATAATTGTGATGTTATAGATATATTATTTTAAATATTTGATGATTAAATTCTCATTTAAGAGTGTTAATTGTTCCCTAAAAGAGAAATGAGAACCTTTATATGGGACGTCCAAAAAAGGAAAGTGAGAACCTTAGAATAGGATGGAGGGAGAATGAAATTAATAAATTATTTTTAATTTACCTCAAAAATTATTTCCGTGAATATAATTTCTTGTGTAGTATTATCAATTAGTAAGCACCATAACTGTAGAAAGAGTGAAAGCATGGGTATTGTACTACTAGAAATATTTTATTCTTATGCTAGAAGACTTTCATGCTACATTTTTCTCAAGAAATCTTGGTTTTGGTCTTGTTGTCAGCAATGCGAGTAATTATTGAAAAATAATGTGATTTCAATTCTTGAAATTTGATAAGAATCGTGGAGAAAGGGATTTTTGTTGGTTTAGAGGCTGTGCTTTACTGCGTTTTGTTCAATCAAGGATTTTTAGGAGATCTGCCATTATACTTGGATCTGACCTGGTCCATTTGGATACTATCTTTCTACAGTTGGTGTCATATATAACGTTCTGTACGTCTTTTTTCATTCAACTCTTAGCAAAATTTGCCCATGATATCATCGTTTTCCGAGTCAGTGTGTCCTCTCTCTATGCAAGTGGGTACAAAGCTTTAAGTGTGAGCCATTTTCTGTATTTTTTAGATAATAACTGTCACTAAATGTTTTTATTCTGTAGAAGGCGTCAACATGCCGCGTAAGGTAAGTTATGGAGTTGATTATGATGATGGTTATGATGACTATGAAGATTATTACAATGATGACTATGATGACGTGGATGATTATACACAAGAAAAAGGTGACTGAGTGAGTCTCTTTCTCCATTAACCTTTTCTTTCTGAAGTTATAAGCAAATCTAGAAGCCTTATCTGCTTCTTTGATAAAGGGATAGTCTAAGACTCTAAGTTTGCTAGCTTTTTTATGTAATCTGACATCACACATATTTGTGTCATTAACTGCTTACTTAGCTGCATTAGTAGGTCACAGCTTGCTAGTTATTAATTTAATTAGTTTATTTGAACTTACCAGCCTTGTTAACTCTTCACTACAGAAGTTGCTTTAGAATCAAAGGCAAAACATGGATCCACTACTACTGGGGTCTGGCATTGCTCCATTTGCACATTTGATAATGATGATAGCATGAGTGCATGCGATATATGCGGGGTCCTACGAAATCCCTTGATTAAAGCTTCTTATGGAAGGAATACTGAAGGTAGGAACTATTGAACTTCTTTTTTCTAACTTTCTCTATTTGTTGAGCCCTAATAGTACTTTTGTCTTTATTATGTACAATTCGAGCATTTAGTGTCGCAGTTGATGTGCTAGTTTTCAAGAATGGAGTTTGTGCATAGTATTTCCACATAAGATGTCATTATTTCCCAGGTTTCTAAAACATATATTACATAGTATATTATATCAACTAATCAAAATGTATGGGCCATGCTTGATAAAATTAAGATTTCAGTTACCCTAAAACCTGCCTTGTGACATGCTTCTGAAGACGGTTAGCCAATGGGTGATTCATGAGTTACTAGAAGCTTTTGTGTCATTGGGAGTTGTTTTCAAACCATGATGGTTAAAGAACTGAAGACCTCTTCTCCGCAGTTTACTGGAGAGTATCTTCCTGTAATTTCCTTTTTCTCTATGTGGATGCATGCATTTCAAATCTGCCATCAACATATTCATTTAAGTTTAGTATCATTATTTCTGTCAGTAATATAGGATTTCATCTCTATCTCTAGTTTCTTTATAGAGTAGATCATTTTCATGCAGCTGGTAGCACATGTCAAGATTCTGGAGCTTCCATACTGGCCAAGTCTCTATTTTCATCAATGCCGCAGAGGAACCCAAAAAAGTCTATTTTCATCAAGAGCCATCTTTATAAGTCAGAAGGTGGTTTTAATTTCCATGAGAATGGAAGCATATGTGGACAGTTTCATGATTTACTAAAAGCCTTTAGCCCTCAAAACAATTACAAGTTTAAAATAGGTCTGGACAAGCTCAAACATGTACATATTAATGTAAAATAAAGAGACAATATGTGTTTTATTTGCTTGGTTTTCCACTTATGGGGTTAAATTTATATCCTCTTTTTAGTTCAGCATGTTACAGATGTCTATATCTTTCACCTACTGAAGATTAAGGACTAAGGATAGAAATCATTTTTTTTTTCATTTTCTAACTTCGTTGTGTTGTTGCAGAGCCATTCAAGTTTGATACTCCATCTCAAGACGATATGTTGTCAGGTATGCAACTATGCATTCATCCAAAGTGGGTAACAAATGTGTACTCTGCGCTATGGCTCTTTTCTTAATGCCCCCTCCCCCCTTTAACAAAATGAAGTTCTTGTGTTATTAAATTCACTCAATATTTTAAATCCTTTAAAGTATAGTAATCGTCATTAGTATCAATAAAGCACATCTAGATATATTTTCAAGTATCATTGTAGTGCAATACTGCAATATGTTACTCACTCCTTCAAAAAAACAGTCATGTTTATAACACACCCGGTGTTCCAAAAAAAATCTAGTTTGATCAAATGAATATTTCATGTAATTCTCCAAAAATTACCAAAAAGAGTTACATGCAAGTTACATATGATGAATTTAGGTAAACCAGCAAATAAATTTAAAAATAATAAAAGTTTCATCATTTTTAATAATTGAAGCTTAAAAATCAAAATGTTGCATAATAGATAAAAATGATTCTTTTTCGTATGGAGGTAGTATATTTTTAATCCTTGTTGCCCCTTAAAGTTTATTAGAGATTGACATGTTTCTGTTTTATTGGTACTCTTTTCTTTCAGGCACCAGTAACAAAAATTTGCAGACAAAGGCCCCATCAGGTAAAGGCGGAATGATGACTGGTGCTGGAGCAGAATCGGCAGCAGAAGGCCCCTTAGTTCCAATTCCAAGATCAAGCAAGAGTGAAATTCAGCATAGTGGTTCTACGGAGAATAGTGGCAAGCAAGATCTTTCAGGAAGTATAACAAGCTTGTCCATTTCTTCCAAGTCTCGGAATAAGAAGGATGCTAATGGAGGAACTGCTACATTAGCAAGTTCAAGATATACAGCTGAGAAAGGCATACATGACCACATAGAAGATAAACTAAGCCAGTTAAATCTTGCTGTTGTAGGACACTAGCATCTTTTAACTAGATTTGCTAATCAGTATTTAGATCTTATCAAATAATGTATCTTATAATTGAATTTATAGGTTGGCCATGTTGATTCTGGAAAGTCAACACTATCTGGAAGGTTGCTACACCTTTTAGGTCACATATCCCAGAAAGAAATGCACAAATATGAAAAGGAGGCCAAACAAATGGTAACCATTCTGGATCATCTAGTTTTGGCTTTTGTGCTTAACATTCTTAGTTGATCTTTTCTTCATCCAAACAGGGAAAGGGGTCCTTTGCTTATGCTTGGGCATTAGATGAGAGTGCTGAAGAAAGAGAAAGGGGAATCACTATGAACGTGGCGGTTGCTTTCTTCAGAACTAAAAATTATCGCGTCGTTCTGCTTGACTCACCGGGCCATAGAGATTTTGTTCCAAACATGATATCTGGGGCAACACAAGCAGATGCTGCAATACTAGTGATAGATGCTTCAACAGGTGCATTTGAAACTGGCATTGATGCTTCTGGAGGGCAGACAAGGGAGCATGCACAACTTATTAAGAGCTTTGGTGTGGATCAAATTATAGTTGCGGTTAACAAAATGGATTCTGTACAATACTCCAAAGACCGGTTTGATGCAATTAAAAAGCAGCTTGGTACCTTTCTCCGTGCCTGTAAATTTAAAGACTCATCTGTAGTATGGATTCCTGTGAGTGCCATGGAAAACCAAAATTTGGTTGCAGGTCCTGATGTGAATTTTTTATCCTGGTTAGTCTCTCTTCTCTCTCCAGCTTTTCCAATAATAGATTTCTTTTGGTGTTCATATATTGCCCAAACGCACTAAAGTCTTATGACTTGCCTTTGCATTGCGAACTGCAACCTCATTGAGAAAGTCATGTTCCTGGGGATATCGGGTAGCCACTACCTCTTAGAGATCTTAATACGCACTCCCTCTCATTTTATAAGTCTCATATTTCCTTTTTGTTTGTCCTAGAATTGTGTTTACTTCGTTTCTTGAACTGTACTAGCTTTCTACTTTTACTGATCCACCCTTTTCTAATTTGACATTCTGAACTACTGGGAAACGTTCTATAAAAGTTACTAATCTTTTAATGGGTAAAATTTGGAAAGTTCACCAAATATGAGATGGAGGGAGTATTTAATATCCTCTAGTAAAGGGAATAATAAGAAAACTACCATGCATAAAAAATATCAAGTATTTTTCATTGATGTATGGGGAAGGAAAGAAGGCATTAGGTAGTGGGTAGTGAGAACTAAATAGAAGTAGCAGAATATTGAATACTACCTCCAATCTTAAATAAGTGTAACATGTTGAATTTTACACTATTCTCATGTTCCACTTTTGACTACGTTTTTTACGTAAAAAAGGTACAAATATACCCCTGTAGTATGAATGTAAGAACAAATGTATCATTGTTTTATTTTTGGACAAATATACCCCTAAAGTTTATGTGGATGTGCAAATATACCCCTGAAATTTTAAAAGGTGCAAAAATACCCTTCATGTTCCTATCAACAACATCCCAGCCTTAATCCCAAAAGAATTTGGGGTCGGCTAACATGAAGATCAATGATATCAATGCCAAACAGAGAAGACGAACAAGAAAGGGAAGAAAAAAAGGTAAGATAAAACGAATAAAATAAAGATAAATAAATATAAGATAACAATAACACAAGAGTATAAGAAAGATAAAAGATAAAAAAAGAGCATAAAAAGCTAGAATATAAAAATAACATAAGAATATACAAAGATAAAGAAGATAAACGATAAAAGAAAGAAAAAAGAGAGGAAAAGGTAGAAAAGACATCAATCGTCCACACGGATGTGCGCCCTCCACTTTGCTCTCTCCAAAGCCATACTCTCATCCAACCCAAGAAGACGCATATCAGTTTTGATTCCTCTAATCCAAGTCTGTTTGGGTCTTTCCCTCCTTCTCTTCTCTGCCTCTTCTCCCCACCCCTCAAGTCGTCTAACAGGTGCATCACTCGATCTTCTACGCACATGCCCAAACCACCGCAAGCGAGACTCATTATCTTATCTTCTATAGGTGCTACTCCCACCTTTTGTCTAATTATCTCATTCCTCAAACGGTCTTTTTTGGTATGTCCACACATCCAACGAAACAAACGCATCTCTGCTACACTCATCTTTTGAATGTGTCATTGCTTCACTGCCCAACACTCTACGCCATACATTAAAGCAGACCTAATTGCTGTACGATAAAATTTACCCTTCAGTCTAGTCGGCATACCTTGATCACATAGAAATCCTGAAGCACTCTTCCATTTCATCCACTTAGCTCTGATTCTATGGCATACATCTCCATCTAATTCACAATCCTTCTGAATTATGGAACCCAAGTAACGGAATATAATTGGATAATTAAAGTGTTGGAATGCCACTTTGACAAAAATTGTACACACTAGTGCAATACACATTCAAATTACACAAATAATTTAACACAAATTGCACAAATAATTGAATGTTGGTGGAGTGTTTGTTATCGTGCATCATACATTGGGACACTGTATACAAGTGTGGAGAGGGCATTTCATGGGTAGTTTAAACAAATTTTGTGTGCAAAAATATATTTTTAGAAAGGTAAAATTGTGATATTTCTCTTTTTAATGGGTATTTGGTTGAGAAAGTTTTTTTTTCTTATTATTCACAAAAACTATCATTTTTTTATACTACTTTTTTTACTCTTGGAAATCATTCCTAAAAGAAACCTTGATACTAAAAAATCATCGTCTTTCATTTTCGAAAATGATCAAAAATTCATCTCACATATTCAAACACCATTTTGAAAAACAAGGCCACTCCATATCCAACAAATAAATCGACATCATCAAATGACTTTCCATAAATACTTGATGAGAACCATTTCAAACGAGTTTAAAAAAATACTTGTATTTAACTCATGGTCTCTTTTAAGAATTTCAGGTGATCCATTCATATACTGAAAAGTCAAAAATACCAAAAAGCCATTCCCCAGTCCACATCCAAAAAGTCCTAGCCACAAATCACTCATCTATTCTCAAGAGTATAAGCAGTTTTAAATCTAAATGATACTTTTTGTGTTTAATTTAAAAAAATGGGTTTTGGATCGAGAATGAAAAAAGAGTTTATATGTCATTTCTACCTCTCTTAAGATAGATTTATTTTTGTGTATATATATATGTATACTTTTGTTGAAACTAACCAAGCGCCTAAAAGTGGAAGAATTTGCTCGAGGACGATATACGCTCAAGTGTGGGGATTTGATAAGCACGATAATTGTCTATATTTTATATAGGTAATTATGATTATCTATACAATTATTCAAAGATGAAACATGTAAAAATCCCAATTTGACCAAAACCGCACAAAGACGTCAAAGATGAACAAACGGGAGTCAACAGGAAAAAGGAACCAAGAACCGGCACTTCGGGGTCAACTACGGGCGTCAAACAGAGCGAAAAGCAGAATATTGCACAAAAGAAATAAACCGGCACCGGTTAACCCATATAATCGGCTCCGGTTTGATGTTTTTTGCACAAAGATCGCAAAATAGTAGCTTAACCGGCACGGTTAACCCTTATAACCGGTGCGGTTAAGTGTATTTTTCAGATTTTGCCTATACGCGAAGAAGAACCGGCGCCGGTCAGTTCTGATTCTGCACAAAACATAGATACATGCAACCATATTTTGATGGAAAAAATCCACTTTCCTTATGATCTGATCAAATATTTCTTCCATGCCTATTTGTTGGGCTCGAATAGACTAAAAGATGCCAATCTTTAGCCTATATAAAGCCCTCAATTCATCAAACAAGATGATCATTCCATCTTTGGAGTTAAAAATTCAGTTTTATAATTTATTTTTCTATATTGAAGAGTTAGAGGAGAAGTCATTTCCCTCCTCTACAATTGGTTGTAGGTAATTTTTCTTGTATGTTATTGTATTTTCTTGTTCTTAGTTACACTTTTGTAATTAGTATGAGCTCAAGAAGCTAAATTCTTAGCTAAGGCTTGGGATGAACTTTTATGCCCACTATATGTTTGATAAAAGTTCTAAACTAATAAATTGTGATTTCTCCTTTATACTTTGATTATTTATGGTTATGGTGTACAACAAGGAAGCATGTTAAATTTAGTTTATACTTGCAATTAACGTTGAGCGTGTGATGTCTTGATATTCAACAGGGCTTTGGTGGATGAATGTAAGCCGTAACGGGACTTACACGTAACGAAAACCATGCTCCCGTTGCCTTAATCGGAGTTGGGAATATATTAGCGACATCGTATTCATAATTATTGTCAAAGAACTAATATTCAACCCTATTAAAGCATTTTAGTGATTCCCGAAGCCTTAGTTGTTATCAACAATCTTAATTTCAAATTAATTAAAGACTTAAAGTCATTTCCTTGAACTAAAAGTGAAAGACCAAGTTACAACAAACACAAATCAAAATCCCTGCACTTTACTCATTTCTTCATTTAAAACTATCTACTCTCGGACTTAAATTAAACAATGTTTCCCTGCGGATTCGACTCGGTATTTTATCAGAATTTATTACTATATCGGCACTACACTTGCAACCCCGGTTAGTAGACATATATCTCCATTTAATTCACCATCCTTCTGAATTATAGAACTCAATTAACAGAACATATCACACACCGGTATCTCCTTACCATCAAGAGTAATCCCACTGTTGCTACTACTTTTACCTCCACCAAACTTGCACTCCATATACTCAGTCTTGCTTTGGCTCAGTCTGAAACCTTTGATCTCCAATGTTTGTCGACATACTTCCAACTTCGCTTTATTATCCTTAACCTTTTTACTTTTTACATACTACTTTCTCTTTACTACTTTATCATTAGTTTACTCTTCTTAATATATTCTATTTCCTACTTTTTCATTTACCCTACGGCCTACACCCTTTATACCACTCCTACTATTTACTTCTTAGAAACGACAAAAAACCTAAGGGGACTATTAACTAAGAACGGAGGGAGTATATTAATAATCAAAGTTTTGCATTGGCAAATGTGAAAAGTTGACGTTACACTTATTTAAGAACAGAGGAAGTATAAAGAACTAAACTAGTCAAGGAATGAATGTCTACTATCATATCACTAATAAAACAACTGAACTTTATGAGTTCACATATGCCCTTGATAATTTGATAATCATCATATATATCAAATTAAATTACTGTTGTATATGCAGTAATATATCAGCGCAAATTGTAGCAAACACACACACACACACATGTATGTTGCTATTGTTTTTGCTGAAGATTGAATTGTAGGTTTCAGGGCCCATCTCTATTGGATGCAATCGACTCTCTCAAACCTCTTGCTAGAGATTTCTCAAAGCCTCTGTTAATGCCAATATGTGATGTTGTAAAATCACAGACACAAGGACAGGCATCAGTATGTGGGAAATTGGAGACTGGATATCTTCAAACCGGATTCAAGGTAATTAAAGAGTCTTGTACTTGAGAACTCCATCACCCCTTTCACTTAACATTCAAAGTTGTACTTGAATTTGAGAAACGTAACTTCAAATTTGTTAGTTTCGTGCTGCAACTTATTATTCTTGTATTTGATCCTAGTCAACTTTTACCATTCGCTTTCCTAGGAGCATTTCATTAACCTTGGTTTGTATTTTCAGTAATCTGGGTTAGGAATTCAGATGCGGATTAGTATAATGTGAATTATATATACATACATATATATAGTATATACACTTATTTTGGTGGTTTATCTATGGGGATAAAATACACACACACACACACAGTGTAATATATTATTCTTATCAGTCATTAATTATCGGTCATTAATACCAAGTTGTCAATCACTTCACGAGTTATTATTGAAATTGATGATGACAACATTAGAAGTAATGTTATGTTTTGTTAGACCAAAAAAGAGAGAATCAATTGGAAGTAATCTTATAAAAACCAATTGAAAAAGAAATGAGTTGTTTATAAGTTAATAACTATAAGTAACATATACAAATTTATTAATGAATATATTTTTAGTACACAAACCAAACAGAAGCATACCATGCCAGACTTAAATGGTCGTGCCATACCAGACTTGAACAAACTAGACTAGATCATATAAGATAAGATCAAAACAGACTAGTCCTAACTAGACAAAATCAGAAAATTCAAGTCCAAATTAACAGCTCATTAAAATAATACTCCCTCCGTCCCGCTTCATATTTCCTTTTTGGCCCGCTTCATTAAGATTTTCTCATTCTAAATTTTGTAAAATTTGTGTGGTTCCAAATCATTCTTACTTTATTGTGACTTTATCACTTTAATTTCAATCATATAAACTCTTTTTTCTTAATAACCGTGTCACCCTCTCATGTCCTAATGTTAGTGGGACGAAGGTAGTAATAACATTATAGTATTAATAATAATATACGTAGTAAATTATATAATGTTGGTCTGATCAATTTAAGCCTGGAGTAGTCTGGCTTGGTCTATTTAAGTTCATTCTGGTTTAGGACCAAAATAAGTCCATCAGAAAAAAGTCACGTGTCCTTGGGGAAACCATGAACGTTCTAAATTTGTGTGGTTCCAAATCATTCACACTTTATTGTGACTTTATCAATTTAATTTCAACCATATAAACTCACTTTTCTTAATAACTGTGCCACCCTCTCATGTCCTAATGTTAGTGGGACGGAGATAATAATAACATAATAGTATTAATAATAATAATACACGTAGTAAATTATATAATGTTGGCCTGATCAATTTAAGCCCGGAGTGGCCTGACTTGGTCTATTTAAGTTCATTCTGATTTAGGACCATCCTGGTTTAGGACCATGTTGTGTAACAGAAAAATAAAATCAACAGATAATCAACGATAAAAATACCGTTGCCCAGAGCCAAAAGGCTAAAACCAATTTTATTCCAAGATGAGCCCGAATGAATCCTAACAAGGGGTTTAAATACCCATCTACTAATTCTCAAACTAGGAAACAAAATCCTAGAAATCCTAATCAACTCCAACTAGGAAACAAAATAATAGAGATCCTAATTAACTTCAAATAGGAAACAAATAATAGAAATCCTAATTAACTCCTAATAAGAAACAAATCACGAAGGTGGGCTCAAGCCCGTTCCTGCCTGCAGTAAACCGTCAGCCCCTTAGGTCTCGGACCCTCCTCTTCCACACAGCCCCCTGCTCTCCCTGCTCTCTATCCGACCAAAATAAGTCCATCAGAACAGAGTCATGTGTCCTTAGGGAAACCATGAACGTTCTAAATTTGTGTGGGTCCAAATCATTCTCACTTTATTGTGACTTTATCAATTTAATTTCAACCATATAAACTCACTTTTCTTAATAATTATGCCACCCTCTCATGTCCTAATGTTAGTGGGACGGAGGTAGTAATAACATAATAGTATTAATAATAATATACATAGTAAATTATATCATGCTGGTATGATCAATTTAAGGCTGGAGTGGTCTGGCTTGATCTATTTAAGTTCATTCTGGTTTAGGACCAAAATAAGTCCATCAGAACAGAGTCATGTGTCCTTGGGGAAACCATGAACTTTCTAAATTTGTGAGGTTAAGGACACAATTTTCGATCAGATGAGTTACTCTTAGTGTGTTACTTTAACCGCCTGTTTGGATTGAGGGGAATGAGGAGGGATGGAGAACAGAATTCATACCATGTTTTGTTTGGCTAGGGACTAGGGAGTAAATGGGGGATGATGTTCTCCATCCTTCCGTTCTTCTCAAAATTGGAGTCCAAGGAGGGGATGGGGGGTGGCACTCCTCAATTTCGACAATTTTTTCATATGTTGTAATAAATTATAATTCCTGTCCCAAAAAGGAGTCATGTTTGGTGGAGGTACGACTTAAATTTTGGCATTGTACAACTCTTTGAAGTCGTAAATATTTTTTCCAATTTCATTCCTTTGTGCAACTAACTATGAAATTTAACTTGTTTGCAACTATTTTGGCAAATTGCATGGAAAATTCTAACTCATTTTCCCAAATACCAACTATTTTCACAAAAAACTTGTGAAACATGACCCTTTTATTTGAGACGCATGAGGTGTTATTAGATTCCCTGCATTTCATTTGCAATCCAAACACGTTACCATTACTATCCTGTATTTTTCTTTCACACTCTTTCATTTTCTAAGCATATAAAATCTAAACAGAGCATTATTATTATTATTATTATTATTATTATTATTATTGCTTTCCCTTCTTTGTAATCTATATCCTTCTCGCCCTTACCAACTGCCCTCTACCATAATCGAAACACAACGTACATTTCCCAATATTTGTAGTCTTTCTTTACTTTAGTGCACTGATATTCAATGTTTTAAAAACTAAAAGAGCATTAGGAGCTACACAGAGTCACAGATTTCTATGCATGAAAAGTACATAATCGGCCAAGGAAATCGTAGAACAATTTAGTCCTTCCTACACCTCAAAATTGGGATTATTGGTCGGTTGATGTACAACATGTGTCAACAAGGAAGACAAGCATTTAATCAGTTTAATGTGTACTTCCTGCATTCTGCTGGTTGTTTTTTGTGATCATCTATCAAACTGCTTCTTCCATCATTTGCAATGGAGCTAAAGATTCACTATTTTTTGGCTTTAGAATATGATGGAATAAAGCAAAATAGCTCACTAAACTGTATGCGCTTCTTTATTGTGAAGTAACAGTCAGTCCATGTATTTTTCGACGCGATTTTCACTATGGGTCATTCGGAAACAGTCTCTTTGTGCTTTAGTACAGGGGTAAGACTGCGTACATCCGACCCCCCTTACTCCACCGTAGGTGGGAGCCTTTGCGACACTGGGGTAATGATGATGATCTATCAAATTGCTTCAACATGAAATCGTAACCAATGTAGTTGATTTGGTACAGGTTCGGATTATGCCATCTAGAGAGATCGCCACAGTGCGTACCTTGGAGCGGGACTTGCAAGTTTGCCCAAGTGCAAAGGCTGGTGACAATGTGACTGTTAATCTGCACGGTATTGATGGAAACCAAGTGATGGCTGGGGACGTGCTATGTCACCTGGATTATCCTGTTCCAGTTACAAACCATTTGGAACTGAAAGTTCTTACTCTAGATATCTCAACTCCACTTGTCATTGGTTCTCAGGTAAAGGATTATACACCCCAAACACATTGTAGTAGATAGAAGGCTCTATGGCACCATACTGTTTTTTGTTCTTTTATTTTGGCTTTTGGCTTATTAGCTATATTTTTATCAACCATCAAATTATATGACTCCAATAACTGGATCTGCTGAGTGCTGATAATTTTGAAACCAAGCCAATTTTGGAGCTGCTTTATAATAATGAAACCAACCGGCAAAAAGCATTAACGCTGCAAAGACCAAAGCACCAATTGCGGTACAATAGAGTTGTAATTCATTAGTGATTCCAGATGCTCTCCAGTTTTACCATATTTAGCCGTTTAGATGACATTTTCTTTAATTGTATAGAAAAATGCATTTAACAACAATTCATTCAATCAACTCATTCAGTAATTCCAGCCACAGTAGCAACAAATTCAGCCCCTATTAACCGTGTCATCCAAACTGGCCTCTGCCAAATGGAGTCTGAGGCGGCTGCCTTTGGCTGAAGTGGATAGATGTTACTGAATTCTTTGTCTTTCAGTAAATTCATCGGACTCAACAATTTAGCCTAATTTGCGTAGTGCTATTTGTCTGCTCTATGTCTGCTCTATGTGTGCTGTAAGTTTTTTAGTTGTTACTACCCCCGTTCTTTAATAACTCTCTTATTCCATTTCGATTTTTCTTTATTAATTGTCTTTCTTTTCAGTTTAGGAAAGTTTTTGAGCTAAATACCTCATTTTTATTACTTTTACCTCTTTTACTTTTTACATACGTAGTACTACTTTCTCTTTCCTACTTTATCATCACTTTACTCTTCTTAACATACTCTCTTTCTTACTTTATCATCAATTTATTCTTCTTAATATACTCTCTTTCCTACTTTATCATTTACCCTACACACTCTATGCTACTTCTATTTTTCTCTTAAAACCCGTGCCCAAGCTTAAATGGACAGTTAATAAAGAACGGAGGGAGTATATTATAAGGGGAGTGTTGTCATGAGAACCCCTCTTAGAATGAGAACCCTTATCAAAATGACAACTTCTAATCTTCATCATTCATTTTTACGGATAATATTGACTAGGTGGCATTTTTTGTAATTATTCATGATTAATTGCAAAAAAATCTTCATTTGAATTTACGGTAATTATGAATATGATCTCATGTGAATATTAACTAATGATTGCAATAAATGAATGGTTCAGATCAAAAGTTCTCATCATAAGTAGTTTCCAATTTAGGAGGGGTTCTCATGGAACCCTCCCCTATATTATAATAATAACCATTCCAGTTGTGATTAACTTTGTGTTTTTGGATCTCCCTTTATGAAGGTGGAATTTCATGTGCACCATGCAAAGGAGGCTGCAAAAGTTGTGAAGTTATTGTCATTGCTTGATTCAAAGACTGGGAAGGAGACAAAGAAGTCGCCCCGATGCCTATCAGCCAGGCAAAGTGCCATTATTGAGGTTTGAATATTTGATTCTGCGGGTAAGTTTCCATCCAAAGGGGAACTATACAAAAAAACTCACGTTACTTTCTCTGTGTGTGTTTGTTAATAGGTGGCTTTGGAAGGGATAGTTTGCGTGGAAGAGTATATGAACTGTAAAGCTCTTGGGCGGGTCTCTCTAAGAGCATCTGGAAGAACAATTGCTCTTGGGCTTGTGACTAGAGTACTAGAATCGATGTAAAATCATAACTAACCCAAGAGGTACAATATTTACGGCAGCTTCACAATGGGGAAATATTTATGTTTTTTATCTATAATTTGCTTTATTTAGAACATTGTCATGGTCAGGTGGCAGGTTTTGTGAATACATTTTTTAGTTGACTAACGGGAATTTTGGCGAAGTATCAAGGCACACTCTAAATGAATCAGGTGTACCTTTTCCTAGTAATTTTTTATAGAAAACTTTTTACAAAATTGCTTTTACAAAATTGAGAATATGTTGCCATTTAAGGAGCGTTTAGGTTATGTTTGGATCCCAGATAATGGTAGGGAAAGAAAAGAAAACGCTAAGATTGCCAAACGACATACTAATCTGACTATTCCAAATCAACAAGAGTAAATTTCCTAAATAGGAGTAAAAAAGATTTGAAATTCCAAATAGAACTATCATGTTTTTTATTCCCTAAATAGGAGTAAATTTCTGCCAAGTTTGACATTACTAGGTTTTTAAACTTGACATTTTTTCCAAACTTGGCATATTACTCCTATTTAAGGAATAAAAAATATTATACTCCTATTTTGGAATTTCAATGCCTTTTTACTCATATTTAAGGCGATTTCTAAATCAAGAATTCGTCTTGTACACATAATTTGTACACATTTGACACATTTGAATGTTGTGTACACAAACAATGATGTACGAGTTGTTTGTACATGGACAATTAGGGGGTGTACACATTGTCTGTGTGCACACACAATTACATACAATGTGTGAAATGTGTACATAGTGTTTGGGTGGTAGGTGGGTTGGGCTGGGTAGCAAAAAAACGGTACCTAGCCTGGTCTCGGTAGAACCTGGGCTGGTTCCGGGCCTCAACCCCTCAAAAAAGCCCAGTTTGGACCGACCCGGAGCCCGGTCCGGCCTGGATCTTGGTCCGACCTGGAACGGCTAAAATCCATCTATATACTTGAATCATTTTGGACGCACAACAACACCTTGCACCGAAGTACCGAACCCCATTCATGGTATTAAAGTATAAATATACCAATATTTTAAAAATGATATTCCAGACTGGTGACTGGTTATGATTTGGGAGTTAAACAGTCCAACACCCCAACAAAGCCCTCGTGGGATGTATATAGACTATAGAGCAATAATCACTTAAAGTTATGTTTTCCTTCAAACAAAGTCCCATAAGTTTCTTAAAATGATGATTAACGTTAGAAATATCATTTATTAAATTGATGATCATTATTATTCATAAAATGAGTAAGAAACGGTAATTAGGTTGGATCATATACCTGCAAAATATTTCGCAAAATATCATTCATGAGTGAAGTTATTAAAACGCTTAAAACACATCATTAAATTATTAGAATAAGATTTGATGTAGGAATTGTAAATTTGCGTTCTTATTTAGTCATTAAATGAACATTACGGAGGATTTCAAGAGAACACAATGCCCGCACTCTGCAACGATCATTGGGAAAACATCCTTTTCGAACTGAATGGATTTACTACCAAATTGGTCACATAATCTGGCGTAATTTAAATCAAATAATTTAATTTTAGCACTGTCGTTCATGGAATTATTGAAGAACTAGATTATGGTTCATTGTGCTTTAAAATCGATTCAATAATTCTTCAAGTAAAGAATACCATGAAGGCAAGGCAAAGGCAAAACTGAATTGAAACCAATCCTTACAAAACCAGGATCGAGTTCTCAGTTCCCATGTTTGGAAGAGCTAGCAGGATCCATGATGGTCCATTTGTGATAACTCTAAGTCAGTCGGGATGTGCCAAGCAGCTTGCTTGTCTGTTGGGCTGAGGAGAGAGAAATAACAGAAACTACAAAATAATTGATTAAAAAAGAAAGTGACTAAGTTTTAAAGGACGGAGGGAGTATTATTTAAACGGTCCTTAGCTTCATCTTCAATCAATGAGCCAACTGCCATGGCAATACGAGCTCAGTCAACTTCAGTGGCATAAGGCACATGCTTTCGTACAAGATTTCCCTCTGTTTATTCTTGGGAAAAATGTTTCCTAGCAAGCGGAAGAACCTGGATATAAAAAGGAGGGAAAAAGGTCAGATAGGTCTTCAAACTTACATAAAAAGGTCAAATAAGCCCTTATATAGGAGGCTCTGTCCGGCCGTAGCCATTTGGGGCAACTCCCGGTAGATTTTTTTGATGAATTTTTTTGAGCATCTTATTCATTAAATCTAGTTTACGCACACCAAATTTCAGCTAAAACTTCAATCGGGAAGGCATTCAAATTAATTCTTGAAGATAACTGCGCAGTTAAAAGCAGTTACAAAATTCGAAAAGACGACTAAAAACTTCACACTGATGATTTTTGCATAGTTACAAAATATAGGTTAATGCATAACTACTTATCTTGCAATAGGAACTAAGGGTTAAAGAGAACTTTTGCTTCGAATCATAGTAGTCAATGGCGAGACAAGGCGTGTACCATATGCGCCATCACCATGGGAAAGTGATTGTCGCCATAGCGCCATATGGGTCATATGCGCCATTCGTATATGCGCCATCGCCATGTGCAATGAAAAATGCCTTTGAGCCACGACGATCGCCATGCACCATGACAACTATGCTTGGAATAAAGAAGATAAAAGGTCAGTATCATAACTAAGTATACTTTATCACTCGTAAAAAATGCCTTTTCTGGTTATACAATTTCTAGACAAATATGAAGCTGCATAGGCCATATGTGACATTTAGAAGAGAAAGATTGCATTTGTCTCTCACAGCCCAACCAGAATCATGTGATTCAAAATATCAAAATAAATAATTTAATAAAAAGGCAAATAGTATGACCAACTAGTCACACAACCAAAAACAAGAATACCTGAATTTCCTCATCGTGAAAATGCTTTTTAAATGTTTCAATAGTTAAATCAGCATAAAGACATAATTTGAGAAAAACTCAGCAGCTGAATCTGAATTGATGCCCATACTCTGAATGTTTTTGATCATCAAACAAAGCTCATTGAATATACTTTTTTCATCCACGTGCTTCGGAGAGAAGGAAAATTCCCCATCTACAGCCGGGAATATGACTTTGTCTTCAGGAACTGTTAGAGACTCTACTAATTCAGCAATAGAAGATAAATACTTTGGCAAAGTATATTCTAGAAGAAAGTAGAGTTAGTTATTAGTTAAAGGTGTTGTTAGCTAATAACTGTCTTCGGTTGTATTAGTTACTTACTTACTATAAATAGTAGCTAGCTGGAATGGGTGAGGAGGCTGTTTAGACTTTTATCTTGTATTGGGAAGTTAGAGACTAATACTCTCTTTCTTTGGAGGCTTCAGCCATTGGGGGCTTCGGCCAGATTCTTGTTCATCGTTAATAAAATTGCAGATCGTTTTCTTGAGATATTCCTGAGAATTATCTGAATAATTGGATAACTCTAACATTGGTATCAGAGCACGTTACTTCCAAAATCTGAATCATCAGAATGATGGAGGAATTCTATATGACACCGCAAATGGAAGAAAGATTTGACAATCTGAACCAACAGATGAAGGAGACGAACCAACAGATGAAGGAGACGAACGCTAGGTTGAAAAGTATCTTGCACGACTGTGAGCGTCTAAATCGTAGATTGCAGCGATCGAGCAATACCAAGCATCATCGTCTTTCTGATAAATAGAGTCCATCGCAGTCGTTCACCAAGTCACAGAAGGAGCCAATAATTGTTTTGCACTCGCTAAAGGATCCGCGCGGAAAATTGGGGAAACTCGCAGAAACGATGGAGCGCGGAAATATGGAGAAGGAGATGAGCTTAAAATCGGAGAGAGAAAAACGCCCAAAACTGGAGAAAGAGAAACGCTCAAATCTGGAGAAAGAGAAGAGTTCTAAACCTGAGAAAGAGAAACGCTACAGCCGGGATAAGAAGAAGCGTGAGAAGAGCAAACAACATCACTGGCGAGGAAGATCGAGGAAGGTACGTCGCTGCGTGAATTCAAAAAGCAAAGCTCCATCTCAGTCACAAGAATTCCCTAGTTCGCAGTCGCGAACTATTTCTCTCAGTTCACCCTTGCTAACCGAGCACCTTCTATCGTTATCGCTAGTAGATTCTTACCCTGCGCCAGACAGGTCTCTTGATTCGCAGATGGCATTGCAAGCCATAAATCCTAGTGTGCGAGTGTCAATATGCCCACATGAATCATCTGTTTCAGAATCTATAACCATAGTACATCAGGAAAAGGATTAACAGGGACTATAATTTCGGAAATTCATACTGAATTGAAGCAAGTGGCACCAACAGTTTCAGAAAATAGTGAAGCTGACATTCTGCAGGTATGTGATAGTGATGTTTGTGTGGTCAAATCTGCATTGACTTTTGGGTTTGAACAGGAGAGGAACTGGCTTACTATTTTAAAATCTGTAATGATGGACTGTGATATATTACACATTGCTTTGGAAGGGTTGAAGTCATTGAACAAGTTTGATAGATTCGGATGTGAGGGTGTTACTTCGATGATAGATAATCAAAATGGGTTGGAAGGAGAATTTTCTGGGAATATTACAGATAATGAGGGATATGTTTCTGGTGTTGGAGTTGTCATGTATCTGATGTTTGTTAAAGATCTCAATTCTGGTCGTTTCCCTGAGGCCATTATAGGAGGTGTAGGCTTAGACGATCGGTTTGATGATTCTGCTGTGGCAAATTCTTATTCTGTGGCTAGAAGCCCATCTTCTATGTCCATTGTATTCGTGAATGGCATTTACAGGGACTTTGTCGGCTCTTATCTTGAATCTTCCATCTTCCAGCATCAACAACAGAAATTGAATATTCCTGGTTCTTTCAATATGTTGACTATCGGAAGAGAGATTCTTTTTGAAGTTCAGTCAACCACTCGGGTATGGGAATCTGGCGCTGAAAACACAAGTTGCTACTCGTTGGTCATCCAACCAGAACCACTTGTGTGGACAATACTTTCTAAGGATGACTTGGTGGATAATTTTACCTATGATGTCTTGAAACTGAACCCAAGGACTCAGTATTATGGTGGGAGTTCATTGTCCTATTTTCGGAAAGGAGAGGTTATATCTTATTACCCAGGTAGTTGGAGGAGTAAGCATACAGACCATGATAATAGATATTTCTATGTGATGGTGGGCAATGATCAAGGTATGTCAAGAGTTTCAATTCGGGAAGAAATGTCACTCATGACATGTCACA